TAAACCAGGCAATATACATTACGGTCGGTTATGTGCCGACCACATTGGATTTTTTTATATTTTTTTGCAATTTATACTATCGGCATTTAAATCGATATTTTTTTAGGTTCTATAAAATATTAAAAATATGATTTTACGTATATAAACTTCTGGTCTATTTTATTATAATAGTTTGGTTTGAATTATTTTATTTAGTTTCAATTATAATTGCTTCTTTATACATATAAATGTTAAATTTTGTTTACACTGTAAGTAATATTTTGAGTGCTAAATATGTAACTATTTAAAAATTGTTTTAAGCTTTTTTTGAAAAAAAAATAGAAAATATTAAGAAATTTTAATTGCCTTGTTTCACTAAAAAAAATTCTAAAGGAATTTGAAACTTATTAATAATAGTTAAAGCAAATAATCAAATAACACGTTTATTTATTCATTAAATAATTATTCTCAATGACGCAGCATATGATTCATAAATTTTATATAATGTATTTGTATGCAGTTTATTATGAATTTTAATTATATTAAATATATTTAATATATTAATAATAAATAAATATTTTTTTTTTAAATATATTTAATTTTTAATTAAGTTTCTGGTAAAATTTCAAATACTTAATACTTGAAGTAGACACACCGTACCGTTCTTCTGAAAATTGTACGAAAATTAAAATGTGAATATTCTTGTATATAAAGTTTCTCAATAAACACACATCCAATTAATACATATGTCAGTGATATGTTGATATGAGTATATATCCTACCTAATTAAAATTTAATGTTTCACACTGAATGATAAGAAATTTGTCAAACAGAATATTAAAATATTATTGATCAAAAACATTTTGATTTAATTAAAACAATCATTCAATATTTGAAATAATTTCAAAATTTTTTAGTTCTATAAGAAAATTGGGTCAAAAGTATAAAAATACAATAATAAAATATGGATTTCTTATATATGAAGAAACTCCGTTTCATATTTTATTTTCTGAAAAAATAAATTGAGAATTTTAAAATTCAAAATTAATTTTATTTTCAAGTTATTTTGAAAAATCTATCAATAATTGGCAGGTTGTTAAAAAATTACCTATTTTTCTTAAATAATGCCAGAATATTTTAAAAGATCATTAATCACAAAAAAAGGTGCTATTTAAATTTAATTGTTTTAATGATTTGGTTTTCTTTTTTCATCTATTATTCTCTTGATATTATATTTGTAATAATAAACGCTAAGAGCTCATAAACTTACTTTATAGTATTACGTTAAACTTTTTGAATATTTAATGTTCTTTGGCACAGAGAGCAATTTTCATTTGAGACGATGATTAAATTGCTTAAAATAAAAAAAAAGAAAATTTCCGGGGAAAATTTATGCATATTTAGGTCTAATCAAATAAACCTAGAATTTTTGTTGTTTTTAAAATATGGTTGTAACGATATACAATGCTGGAAACTTGTTGTAAAAATAAAAACAAAGAAAAAATATATTTTATATGAAAAAGTTCACTTTCGTGGGTAAAGTTTAAAGGAAAAATCAGTTGCAGATCTTTCATATTTTAAATTAATCTCTCCGTGTAGTCGTTTGTATGTCATTTTAAAATGATTAAGGTAAAATATGAGATAATTCAGTTTGCCGAATTTTTCATAAATTTATGTAAAATCATATCACAAAAGTTCTAGAATCATTTAGCTTAAGAATTAAGCATAAGAGTTTTGAAATCAATGATTTACATAATTTGTAAAATAGTTATAAAATTTTATTTGTAAATCTTTGAAGGAAAACTATATTAATAGAGAATGACTTTTAGTAAATAGAATTTCACCTTCAATTCATTCACTAACGAAAGAAAAATTTCAGATTTTTTTTTAAATTTTAATAGAGCGTGAACAATCACTGCACACGAAAAAATTTTAATTTATAAATTTTAATGACAAAAAAACACAATATCTACATTATGTTATGAATACTGTGTATATGGTTTATGACGTTTTCAAATTCTAAAATATTTTTCCTTTCTTTTTCTTTTTACTGATTAATGTCATTTAAAATGAGAAAATTTTTAAAAAGGAACAATACAAAATATAATTTATTTATAAAAGATATAAAATTTTTTTTACTCAAAAAACACTTAGCCAGGTGTTTATCGCAAAGGTAAAAATATAGTAGAAATAATTTGTTTTTACTTGTACATACATTTGAACATCAAATTTCATGAGGTTTTCCACTCATTTGTTTAATCATATAATAAATGAGAAAAGCATTTAGCACATTTCTAAAAAATCGCGAAGTTTTAGTTGTATTTGTAAAAGAGCTTTGTAATTGAGATAATTTCGGTAATAATTTTATTTTGGATCTTTGAGTTATTTCATATTTTCGTAAATATTATGCTATGCTTACGTGTACCTTTTTATTCTTACACCACATTTCGTATTGTATTTCTTAATAAACTAAATTAATACCAGGGATTCATAAACGTTTTAATATTAGTTAGGCGAACTAGACTCAGGCGAATTAGGCGAACTAGATTGGCTAAGGCGTGCGAGAGTGAAAACTAAATAAAATTTTAAAACAAATAAAATTTTAAAAATAATGAAAAAAGAAAAAAAAAATGGTGAAAAAGAAAGGCTTCATAGCTAGCTTTAACAAAATATATAAGCTTAAACGTTTATAGCGCCACATAGTGTCAAATTCAAAAAATAAAGTTCACAGCAGAAATTGCAAAAAATAATAACCAGTTAATTTTTTCGGGATCTTTTGGGCATACAGGTTTTATAAGTCGATTTTTCGAGAGACAGCTCTCCCCAAAAACCTTTTTCCTACCATATTTAACGGTTCTCTCAGTGCAACCATATTTAATTTGAATTAAACTTTCTGCATATTATACAAGCAAATAAAGCTGAGCTATAATTTTTATTCTAGCTATTTTAGCAGCAATAACAAATATCAAACTGTGGCGAACTATGCAGAGCACTGACATTTATTTTAATTTTTTTTTTTGCATTAAATGTATACCTGGTTATATGTAGACTTAATTATATTTAATTTTAGAAAATCATTATTTTGTATTCAATATGTGCCTTATACATGTACATTTATACATATTTGCAGAATACTGTTATAGGCGTATAATATGATACGTAAATATAAGTGATTGTCTAAATCTAAATATTTAGAAATTGTTTCATTATATATTTTACGATATATAAAAAAAAGTATCATTACGCAACTTGCGCAATATAACAATTTAATGCTCAGCAAACGGTAAATATACAGGCAAAACATAAGTTATGCAGGCAGGCGGCAATTTATATACCTATTTACATATGTGTGCACTTTCATATACATACATAATTTATTTAATAATCATATACATACTTAAGAAGATGTTAATCAATTTTTTTTTTAATTTTGTTCATTGACCTTCACATTTTACCCTTGAGTATCTCGAAAGATAATTTCATGTAGGTGGGAAAGAAAAACAAAATACATGAAATTTACAGAGAAAAATGTTTATTTTTTTGGTTGCTGTATTAATTTCCAAAATACTGATTCTAAACAGAATATTTGAATAAAAAATAGAAATAAATGCTTCAAAATCATTAGCATTATCAAAAGTTAATAATTACGTCTTAATATTAGTTGCATGTAAAAAGGTTTAATAATATAATTTATTAATTTACAAACTTTAGTGAATTTCCATGATTGACTATACCAATCGCTTATTTTTTATTTGAAATCTAATATGTGCACATGTGGGTGAGAGTTTAAAAAATTTTTAAACTTAATTTTAAAATAAAGTAAATTTTTATGGCCTATATCTTACCTCTCTGACCAACAGGTAAAAAGATCTTGTAGGCGAGCATGTATCAAAAGAGCTACCAGCAGTCGACAATTTATTATAATTTGAAAGGAGTTGAAGGGCGCAGTAAGCCACCTTTTAAGTGGCGGTGCATGCTTGTTCCATGTACCAAATTATTTAAATTGCTATATAGAACTTAAACTTCATTTTCGGTGTAGTTTAGATATCATCATAGTACTAAAAACGATTTTTTTTTACAAGTTCAACCAATCAGTTTTGTTCAAGGAATGATTACTTTTAAAATGGCTTTGTATGTGATGACAAAATTATGAATTTAATAAGCTTTTTAAATTTAAAACAAAATTTTTTAAGGAGGAGCTTAAGGAGCTATTGAAATATTAAGTAGTGCTTAAGGGGGTTGAGGATATAATGAGATTCCGAATTTGCTTTTTTATTTATTATGCGAAATAATGTATATATATATATATTTTTAAAATTAAATACAAAATACAGAAAGCGCGACGGGATAAAAATGCCTAAAATTTTGTTACATAATACTTAAACAACATCTTAGGAATATATTTTTTACAATAACTCTCAAAAATTTTCAGACAACTGAAAAGATTTGTTTTAAATAAACTCATACATAATTTAATTACACATGAATATGTGATGAAAGGCCAGCACGTTAAGAGACATTTATTTTTTTGTTTTTTTTTCTCTTATTAAAATTGAAATATACTCAGCTATTTAAAAAAAAAACCTAGAATAATTTTCATCACTATAAAAAATTTTTTGAAAGAAAAATTTTCTTGCAAAAAAAAAAAAATTAATTTACGCGAAAATAAAATTTTTATTGAAGTTGAGAAGAAAATTTGTGTTAAGAGATGTATGCGAGGGCATTTATATAAAATTTTAGAGAAAATATGCGAAATATTATTTAACATTTTTTTTTTACCAACATTTGCACACAACAAATAAGTGTTGGTCAAATTATAAGTAAATTTGCCACCTTCAGGTATTTTATTTTTTGAGAATAAATTAAAATACATAAATTTTTTCATAAAACACAAAAACTCGACAATAAAAGAAAGAAAAGCAAAAAATTTTATAAAAAGTTCTGTCACTTCTTAATTTTTTTACTAATTTCTTAGAAGTTTCTTGGGAAACGTAGATTTATAAAATTTTGTGTATAAAAAAACCAAAGAAGCAAGATAAAAATAAAAATATTAAATTAATTTTATTTTAAAAATAAACATTATTAATTTTTTTTCCTGTACAATTAATATTGACTGTGATAAAATAAAATTTAAGGTCTAAGGAGTGAATAAAATCGATTCAATTAAGTTATTCAATTTTTGGTGTAAGTGATCTTTATGAAAGTTATGTAATTATAAAATAAATGTTGAAAAAAAAAAATTATTAAAATTATTTAAATCACTAACATTAAGTAGAATATTACAATGTTAACAAAAGAAGTTCTAAATTTTATTTAAAGACATTTTGATTGCAAAATTTTTAAAAAGTGATTCAACAAATTGAAAAACAATTAAGGATATTTTTATACTAACAATGTTAAATTAAAATTACTAACTTTATTCTTAATTAGAGAACTTTAACACAAATTCAAAATGTTGTGGATACAAAATTGTATGCATAATTTGGATAATCAACATTATATTTAAAGAGATTTAATGTTTTTATGAAAGAATTTTAAAGTTATTTCATATTTGGAACGTGTAGGTAGGATAAAAATGACTAAATTGCGAATATGTGACTATTTAAATTAACCCATATTACCGAGGTTGGTGTACAACTATATGAGTTCTCTAAATCAATTGAATTTTGTAGCTCTTATAATATTAAATTTGCTAACGTTTATTTCATCAAGGAAATTTTCTAACACAATTAAAACTATTTTTCTATTTTTCACCCGTTTAGCAAAAATTACAAGTTTCGAATATTTCAATTATGTAAAAGGGTTTTCTAAAATTTCGCAGTTGTTTCTTAAAAATGCAAAACAGTTTTTCTTCTTAACCTTAAAAGTAATTGATTGCTACACACTCTTAACTATGAGTATGCTTCCTTTTTCTGGTCATTATAATTGTATACACTAATGAATCACTATAAAAACTTTTAAAAGTCCGGAAAAAGAAAAATTCATCATATATATTTAAAAGTATTTGTTTTAAGCAGTTTAATTAAACCAAGAATAATTTTATCTTGTTTACCCTTTATAAAAATAAAAACGTAAGTAGCTATAAATGCCATACAAATATATTAGAGCTATTTAGGTATATTGTATATATAATAAGAGTGTGTTGAGGTATGTGTAAATTATTACCAAAGTTAATAGAGGTACGTAATGTAAGGAGTCTGTTAATTTTCTTAGAAATTTGGTGAAATCACTTTGAACTTTAAGCTTAACCTTAAAAATTTTGTATCAGAGTTGTTGTTCTGTTACCTATATTGTGTGTTTCTTATCATACTACGTTTTAACTCACTAGTTATTGAAACAGGATGCGATTTAATACTGTATGTATATATTTGTAGAGAATTCGAAAAAAGGACATTTTGAAGTTTCCTAAGTAAACTTTAAGTTTAAGAGATAATCGAATTCTGGTTTTATACGTACAAATACATTTCAAATACCACACTAAAAAAATCACAAAATCTATTTCAAGAAAACTAAAGTGTACAGAAAAAAACTATGTGCTTGCAATGACCTATAAAATAAAAATGAAAACGTTCCACTTTACGTTTTAATAATAAAATGTTTGTCATAAATTTTTTTCTCAATGTCTTTAAAAAATGTTCATTTTTCAAGGCAAGCTATTTGTGGTTTTAACGTTTAATTCTCGCAAATTTTGTTTGACTAAATTTGCAAGTAATATTTTTAATTCTACATAATAAATTGCATAAGAATAGCATGCAAGTATTTTGGATATAAATTGCACAATATTAAAAAAATATGCAGTGGATCAGAAACATATTTGTGTAACCCATACATACATAGAAAACATTTAAGTGCAAGTGATATTTATTTCTAGTTTTGTCCATGTTTATTTATCGGCAATATACTCGTACTTTTGCTTTTCTCAGATTTTGAATGTTGATATAAAAAAAAGTGGTCTCCTAAATTGTGGCTTAATAACATCAATTTAAATGCAACTCTGCTTCTGAATCCCTGCATAATATAATTAATGAGTTATAAAACTTATCTTTATATAGAAAGTTAATAGGATTTAGACTTTAAATTAATTGGTCTTTTTAGCACTTTTCCAAAAAAATTTTGAAAAAAAGTGCTTATTAGTTTCACTCTGTCCGTCCGTCCGTCCGTCCGACCGTCCGTCCGTCCGTCCGTCTGTCCGTGTGTCTGTTTACAAAACTTCTACACCCTTGAAGATAGAAAGCTGAAATTTTGTATGTACATAGATCTTTACTAGAAACTTATTTCCGTAGAACAAAATTTTTACCTATCTCTCCCCCTCTAGAAGTTATACCCCCCCAAAACCTTAAAAATGGCCATTTTTAACTATTTGTTGCAATGAAACCATAAGCATTTTTGAAATTTTGCAAACGCATAAAGGCAGCGGCTTGCTTCCCCTAGCGCGATATACTATAGCTAAACTTTAGAAAAACAAAATGGCAGTTCAAATTTACCGCTATCTAAAGTCTTTTTTTTCCAAATTTTTGATTTCGTTTTTCTTCTAGACCCCAGCCTGTAGAAGCTTGAAATTTTAGGGGCTTATACACATTAACAAATAGTTCATTTCGTTAGAAGAAAATTTTTTTCTATCTCCACCCCCTCTCAAGTTATCGCCTCTTGAAATTTGTAAAATTTGAATTTTTAGCGCCTTATATTTCCAAAACCGCAAACGTTTTCAAATTTCTATAAACATAAAAAGCTAGCGGTAAATTCCGTGACATTAAAAAATATAATTATTTTTCTTAACTCACACAATTAACCCTTAAAATCGAGCATTATGTTAACCCCTCTTTATATTAATTTTTGCTTTATTTCAAAGATTGCATGAATGCATCATCCTAAATATATGCAATCCTGGAAATAGTTAAATATGAATGAAAATAATTTTAATAGTGCGGTAGGTATGCATAGACTGTATTTAAAAGCAGAATTTTCACTTGTTGAAGGGAAAAGTGCTACAATACAAACCATTGGTTTGACCCAACTTTATTTATTATTACTCGAAGCCCTTCATTATAATCATAAAACGAAAAGCTTTATTAATTTGAAATAAATTTGGATTCAACCAATAGTTTTTATACCTTTTTGAACTTTGGTACGGAGTTTATAGCCGCACATGAAAAGCTATCTGGGCTGTGAATATGTATATATTATGTTTTTACTCAACGTAAAATTCTGCGTGGATTTAGACATGTCCGTCTGTCCGTCCGCCCGATTGCACGATAACTCAAAAACGAATACCACCATAAGTTCACATGTTTTTTCTTTTGTGTCAAAGAAACATTTACATTGGACCTATTTCCACTCCAGATTTATGTAGCTGCCATACAACTTAAAGGGATTCTTTTAGATATTTCGAAAACTAATAAAGTTATAGATATGAAACTTTGATGCTTGTGTCCAATTATATTCTAGATAAATGTTCTAAAAATTTTAATGGAATGGTTGCACTGGTTCGAGTAGCTGCCATACAATTCCAAAAGCTAATTTTAAATATTCGGAAAAATAATAAGGTTAAGTGTCATGAGGCTTGGCAGTCATGGATCCAATTATAAGTTATACATACCGCGTGAAATGGTTTAACAGATTCTAGTTACTGCCATACAACCATGAAAGTTAATGCTAAACATTTCAATAACAAGTTTTTATACTCAGATTGTGCGAGGGGATTATGCGCAGATTGTTAGATCTTTTATGTGGAAATAATGAAAATATTGCTTTCTAAAACAATCTACACTAATAAAATGGCTTTCATTCATATACCAAAATATTTAAAATGAAAAAGAAAATAAGAAATTTGAAAAAAATTATTTTAAATAAAGGTTAATTTTTACGGTTATTTCGTGATTTCAATATTCAACTATTTTGCATCGTGCTAGAAGAAGTATGAAGTACGCTTGCAAAATAAATAAAGCTTAGAATGAGTAGTCAAAAAAGGGCATTCCTAGTATTTTGAAGGATAATAAAGTTTAGAGAGGCGATGCAGATAAAAATAAAAGGTAAAAATTTTCTTCTACAGAACTTCTGTAGAAGAAGTGAGTTACTTCTGTAATTTTATTAAAAATTAAAGTTTTGCAAACAGTTACACAGATGGGCGGACAGAATAAAATTAGTAAACACTGTTTTTCCTATTTTTTTTTTGAAAAATCTTGAAAAGGATTTTAATGAAAGAGGAAAGAAATATTAATAAAGTTGGGTCAAACCAATGGTTTGTATTGTAGCACTTTTCCCTTCAGCAAGCGAAAATACTGCCTTTAAATACAGTCTATGTATAGCTATCACACTATTAAAATTATTTTCATTCATATACAAAACTATTTCTAGGATTGCATATATTTAGGGTGACGCATATATGCAGTCTTTGAAATAAAGCAAAAATTAATATAAAAAGGGGTTAACATAATGCTCGATTTCAAGGGTTAATTGTGTGAGCTAAGAAAAATAATTCACGGAATTTACCGTTAGCTTTTTGCGTTTATAAAAATTTGGAAAAGCTTGCGGTTTCGGAAATATAAGGTGTCAAAAATTCAAATTTTACGAATTTCAAGAGGTGATAACTTGAGAGGGGGTGGAGATGGAAAAAAATTTTCTTCTAACAAAATTAACTATTTATTAATATCTAAAAGCTCCTAAATTTCAAACTTCTACAGTCTGGGGTCTAGAAGAAAAACGACATCAAAAATTTGGAAAAAAAGGACTTTAAATAACGGTAAATTTGAGCGGCCATTTTGTTTTTCTTAAGTTGAACTATAGTATACCGCGCAAGGGGAAGCAAGCCACTGCCTTTCTGCGTTTGCAAAATTTCAAAAATGCTTATGGTTTCATTGCAACAAATATTTAAAAAAGGCCATTTTTAGGGTTTTGGGGGGTATAACTTCTAGAGGGGGGAGATAGGTAAAAATTTTGTTCTACGGAAATAAGTTTCTAGTGAAGATCTATGTACGTATTAAATTTCAGCTTTCTATCTTCAAAGGTGTAGAAGTTTTGTAAACAGACACACGGACATACGGACGGACGGACGGACGAACTTACGGACAGAGTGAAACTAATAAGCACTTTTTTCAAAAATTTTTTTGGAAAAGTGCTAAAAATAGGGAAAAGAAGTTTTATACGTAGTTAGAAATTTTTTAAATCATAATTCAAAAACTTGAACG